AGTCACGTGGAATGAAATGTGGAGGGACATTGCAAGCACGAGCTGCAAGGCTTTTCTTACTTAAATCAACACCACTGGAGAAGCTCCCAAAGAAAGTTATGGCCAAGAAAAAGAAATGAAGACAGGCATTTGGATGATGTCAATAGTTTATAAAAGTTTTATCAAAACTAGGCGTGAGTGCGTGATTTTTTTTTTCAACTAATAGTTGTCACTTGTCAGTTGTGTAAAACAATTGGGAACTGATAATATTTCATGTCATTGTGTAGTTGCAATTCCCTTGTACTTGACTCTTTTAATTTAACCGGACTTCGTAAAGTACCAATATAGTTGCTCCACTATTCGGTTTTAACGTAATAGCAAATTTCCTTTTGCTTGACTTTGATTTCTCTTTATGCATGCAAATAAGTTTTCCTTCTTTTAAAGGTGTAGACATATATATAGTTTTTGGCATATTTTATCAGAACTAAATTAAGCTCTTCCTATATAGGAGTTTGTAATTTAATAAGTGATAAAATTAAAGTAGTTATAGTTTCCTTTCTATTTTGTTTTCAATCAAATTTTATCACATGTTTCCTTTATTTATTATTTCTAACCATGTTCGACTTATTATACTAGTACTAATATTTAACTATTTATCAAGAAAATTGATATTTTACATTTTTATCCACTAATTAAAGAGTCTATAAAAACAAAGCCTCCTGCGAAAGATCTCATTCATCATCCCATCGTTTTCAGTTTATAACCCTAGCTAGTTTACTTTGTTTTCTCCTCTTTTCCCCAAAGTCTCAAAACCGTAGTAAACCATGTTTGGGTAAGTATGGGTCCATCTAGTTCATCTTATACACTACAAGTGAGTTTCCACAATGTGGAGTCACAGAGGTACATTTCGGACTCCTTACCTCTTCCGGTTCCCAAATTAGGTCCATTTGATGTTCCTCCCTTGGATTGAGACCGTTTCACTCATGTTTGTCCTCATAGTCATGTGTAGAACCTATTAATCCATGTTTGGGTAAGTATGGGTCCATCTAGTTCATCTTATACACTACAAGTGAGTTTCCACAATGTGGAGTCACAGAGGTACATTTCGGACTCCTTACCTCTTCCGGTTCCCAAATTAGGTCCATTTGATGTTCCTCCCTTGGATTGAGACCGTTTCACTCATGTTTGTCCTCATAGTCATGTGTAGAACCTATTAATCCATGTTTGGGTAAGTATGGGTCCATCTAGTTCATCTTATACACTACAAGTGAGTTTCCACAATGTGGAGTCACAGAGGTACATTTCGGACTCCTTACCTCTTCCGGTTCCCAAATTAGGTCCATTTGATGTTCCTCCCTTGGATTGAGACCGTTTCACTCATGTTTGTCCTCATAGTCATGTGTAGAACCTATTAATCCATGTTTGGGTAAGTATGGGTCCATCTAGTTCATCTTATACACTACAAGTGAGTTTCCACAATGTGGAGTCACAGAGGTACATTTCGGACTCCTTACCTCTTCCGGTTCCCAAATTAGGTCCATTTGATGTTCCTCCCTTGGATTGAGACCGTTTCACTCATGTTTGTCCTCATAGTCATGTGTAGAACCTATTAATCCATGTTTGGGTAAGTATGGGTCCATCTAGTTCATCTTATACACTACAAGTGAGTTTCCACAATGTGGAGTCACAGAGGTACATTTCGGACTCCTTACCTCTTCCGGTTCCCAAATTAGGTCCATTTGATGTTCCTCCCTTGGATTGAGACCGTTTCACTCATGTTTGTCCTCATAGTCATGTGTAGAACCTATTAATCCATGTTTGGGTAAGTATGGGTCCATCTAGTTCATCTTATACACTACAAGTGAGTTTCCACAATGTGGAGTCACAGAGGTACATTTCGGACTCCTTACCTCTTCCGGTTCCCAAATTAGGTCCATTTGATGTTCCTCCCTTGGATTGAGACCGTTTCACTCATGTTTGTCCTCATAGTCATGTGTAGAACCTATTAATCCATGTTTGGGTAAGTATGGGTCCATCTAGTTCATCTTATACACTACAAGTGAGTTTCCACAATGTGGAGTCACAGAGGTACATTTCGGACTCCTTACCTCTTCCGGTTCCCAAATTAGGTCCATTTGATGTTCCTCCCTTGGATTGAGACCGTTTCACTCATGTTTGTCCTCATAGTCATGTGTAGAACCTATTAATCCATGTTTGGGTAAGTATGGGTCCATCTAGTTCATCTTATACACTACAAGTGAGTTTCCACAATGTGGAGTCACAGAGGTACATTTCGGACTCCTTACCTCTTCCGGTTCCCAAATTAGGTCCATTTGATGTTCCTCCCTTGGATTGAGACCGTTTCACTCATGTTTGTCCTCATAGTCATGTGTAGAACCTATTAATCCATGTTTGGGTAAGTATGGGTCCATCTAGTTCATCTTATACACTACAAGTGAGTTTCCACAATGTGGAGTCACAGAGGTACATTTCGGACTCCTTACCTCTTCCGGTTCCCAAATTAGGTCCATTTGATGTTCCTCCCTTGGATTGAGACCGTTTCACTCATGTTTGTCCTCATAGTCATGTGTAGAACCTATTAATCCATGTTTGGGTAAGTATGGGTCCATCTAGTTCATCTTATACACTACAAGTGAGTTTCCACAATGTGGAGTCACAGAGGTACATTTCGGACTCCTTACCTCTTCCGGTTCCCAAATTAGGTCCATTTGATGTTCCTCCCTTGGATTGAGACCGTTTCACTCATGTTTGTCCTCATAGTCATGTGTAGAACCTATTAATCCATGTTTGGGTAAGTATGGGTCCATCTAGTTCATCTTATACACTACAAGTGAGTTTCCACAATGTGGAGTCACAGAGGTACATTTCGGACTCCTTACCTCTTCCGGTTCCCAAATTAGGTCCATTTGATGTTCCTCCCTTGGATTGAGACCGTTTCACTCATGTTTGTCCTCATAGTCATGTGTAGAAGCTATTAATCCATGTTTGGGTAAGTATGGGTCCATCTAGTTCATCTTATACACTACAAGTGAGTTTCCTCAATGTGGAGTCACAGAGGTACATTTCGGACTCCTTACCTCTTCCGGTTCCCAAATTTGGTCCATTTGATGTTCCTCCCTTGGATTGAGACCGTTTCACTCATGTTTGTCCTCATAGTCATGTGGAGAACCTATTAATCCATGTTTGGGTAAGTATGGGTCCATCTAGTTCATCTTATACACTACAAGTGAGTTTCCTCAATGTGGAGTCACAGAGGTACATTTCGGACTCCTTACCTCTTCCGGTTCCCAAATTTGGTCCATTTGATGTTCCTCCCTTGGATTGAGACCGTTTCACTCATGTTTGTCCTCATAGTCATGTGGAGAACCTATTAATCCATGTTTGGGTAAGTATGGGTCCATCTAGTTCATCTTATACACTACAAGTGAGTTTCCTCAATCTGGAGTCACAGAGGTACATTTCGGACTCCTTACCTCTTCCGGTTCCCAAATTTGGTCCATTTGATGTTCCTCCCTTGGATTGAGACCGTTTCACTCATGTTTGTCCTCATAGTCATGTATAGAAGCTATTAATCCATGTTTGGGTAAGTATGGGTCCATCTAGTTCATCTTATACACTACAAGTGAGTTTCCTCAATCTGGAGTCACAGAGGTACATTTCGGACTCCTTACCTCTTCCGGTTCCCAAATTTGGTCCATTTGATGTTCCTCCCTTGGATTGAGACCGTTTCACTCATGTTTGTCCTCATAGTCATGTGGAGAACCTATTAATCCATGTTTGGGTAAGTATGGGTCCATCTAGTTCATCTTATACACTACAAGTGAGTTTCCTCAATCTGGAGTCACAGAGGTACATTTCGGACTCCTTACCTCTTCCGGTTCCCAAATTTGGTCCATTTGATGTTCCTCCCTTGGATTGAGACCGTTTCACTCATGTTTGTCCTCATAGTAATGTGGAGAACCTATTAATCCATGTTTGGGTAAGTATGGGTCCATCTAGTTCATCTTATACACTACAAGTGAGTTTCCTCAATGTGGAGTCACAGAGGTACATTTCGGACTCCTTACCTCTTCCGGTTCCCAAATTTGGTCCATTTGATGTTCCTCCCTTGGATTGAGACCGTTTCAGTCATGTTTGTCCTCATAGTCATGTAGAACCTATTAATCCATGTTTGGGTAAGTATGGGTCCATCTAGTTCATCTTATACACTACAAGTGAGTTTCCTCAATGTGGAGTCACAGAGGTACATTTCGGACTCCTTACCTCTTCCGGTTCCCAAATTTGGTCCATTTGATGTTCCTCCCTTGGATTGAGACCGTTTCACTCATGTTTGTCCTCATAGTCATGTTAGAACCTATTAATCCATGTTTGGGTAAGTATGGGTCCATCTTAGTTCATCTTATACACTACAAGTGAGTTTCCTCAATGTGGAGTCACAGAGGTACATTTCGGACTCCTTACCTCTTCCGGTTCCCAAATTTGGTCCATTTGATGTTCCTCCCTTGGATTGAGACCGTTTCAGTCATGTTTGTCCTCATAGTCATGTGGAGAACCTATTAATCCATGTTTGGGTAAGTATGGGTCCATCTAGTTCATCTTATACACTACAAGTGAGTTTCCACAATGTGGAGTCACAGAGGTACATTTCGGACTCCTTACCTCTTCCGGTTCCCAAATTTGGTCCATTTGATGTTCCTCCCTTGGATTGAGACCGTTTCACTCATGTTTGTCCTCATAGTAATGTGGAGAACCTATTAATCCATGTTTGGTAAGTATGGGTCCATCTAGTTCATCTTATACACAAAGCATGTGCAGAGGTAACTTGTTTCTCTCTGTACTCTCGTTTGATATTCCCAAACTGTAGCTATCTAAATGCGTGGTATGTGTAGGCATATTTTCCACCTATCTCTCAACCGGAGGGCCTCCCGCTAAAGATACAAGACATAAAAGGGAAAGAATGGGTGTTCCAGTTCAGGTTTTGGCCTAATAATAACAGTAGGATGTACGTTTTGGAGGGTGTGACTCCTTGCATACAGTCCATGCAGTTGCAAGCTGGTGACACTGGTACTTTTCATACCCTTTTGCTTCATTAAATACACTCATAGTCATAGCATGTTTATGGAACGATTACATCAAACATTGGCATTAAAACGTCTTGGATATATTCATGTTCTTTGCAGTAACGTTCAGCCGCACGGAACCTGAAGGAAAACTCGTAATGGGATACCGTAAAGCGACAAACTCTACAGCAGCACAGGTAAAAAAAGCATGGCAAATTCATGTTGAGCTGATTTAAAGAACACCAGAAATGCATAAGCAGAGAGTTAACCCTTTAGGACTAAGAAACTGCCATTGTGAATTAAAGGATTGCTTTCTTGTGCTCTCTCATAATTATGTTTTCAGTGAAAGAATATGTTTTTGTGTGGCTTCTTCAGATGTTCAAGGGAAGCAGTGAACCCAATCTGAACATGTTTTCCAACAACTTGAGTCCGGGATGTGGTGACATCAACTGGTCTAAACTTGAGAAGTCCGAGGACATGGCAAAGGATAACTTATTGCTTCAGCCGTCACTGATTTCAGCCAGGAAACGTGTTCGGAACATTGGCTCTAAGAGCAAGCGACTGCTCATGGACAGCGTAGATGTTCTTGAACTGAGACTAACTTGGGAGGAGACACAGGAGCTTCTCCGGCCGCCTCAATCCGTCAAACCGAGCATCTGTACGGTAGAAGATCACGAGTTTGAAGAATATGATGTGAGTTGCTCTTTACCTTTTCACTAGCTGGACCTTTGCACTGTGTTTTCTGAAGTTGTGTACTTGCTGCTACGCAGGAACCACCAGTTTTTGGGAAGAGGACTGTTTTTGTGTCACGTCAAACAGGGTGAGGCCTCATGTACTATGTAATGATAAGAATTTGAAGTAATGAACATCTTATTATCTGGTTCTGAGATGTGATCCTCAGGGAACAAGAGCAATGGGTTCAGTGTGATGCTTGTGGGAAATGGCGACGGCTGCCTGTGGATACTCTTCTTCCACCAAAGTGGTTGTGCTCCGATAATCTCTTGGATCCTGCCAGGTAAACGAAACTGCATGCTCATGTGCTTAAAACCTATTACCACCACAGAACATTGCACATTTTTCTTCAGAAGTAACTGATACTACACACTATACACTTACGGAGTTGCTGTTGGTATTGTCAGGTCTTCATGTTCTGCTCCTGATGAACTCTCCCCAAGAGAACAGGATACGCTTGTCCGGCTGAGCAAAGGTATGATCCTCGACTGTTTTGTAAGAAACTTCCTTACATAGACACTGACGTTACGTTTGCGCAGAGTTCAAGAGGAGGAGACTGGCGTCATCAAACGAAAAGTTAAGCCAGGAGCAGGAGGGATCAGCTCTGGATACTCTAGCAAATGCAGCCACAGGTGGACAAGGGGAGACGGTGGTTGCAGCCACGACCAAGCACCCAAGACACAGGGCAGGGTGTTCGTGCATCGTCTGCAGCCAGCCGCCGAGTGGGAAAGGCAAACACAAGCCAACATGCACTTGCACTGTGTGCGAGGCGGTGAAGAGACGGTTCAAGACGCTGATGATGCGGAAGCGGAACAGGAGTGAAGCAGGGCAGGCAAGCCAGCAGGCGCAGTCAGAGAGCAGAGACGAGACAGAAGTGGAGAGCATTCCAGTGGTTGAACCAGCCGCGGCAGGAGGGGGAAGCATCGACTTAAACACAGACCCGGGGGCTTCTCGAGTCAGCATGATGAGACTTCTCCAAGCTGCAACTTTTCCTCTGGAGGCTTACCTGAAACAAAAGGCTGTTCCCAATACAGCAGCAGCAGAACAGCAAAGCAGTGATATGGTAAGCACAGAGCAGGGTGGTTCGTCCTCAGCTGCACAAGAACATGACAGAGACACGAACGGAGCTCCTGAGCCTCTAAATTAACTAACCACACCCTTTGGAATCCTCCATGAGTGTATTTATTTGTCAAGGATTGAAGAAATGAGGAATTTATTGTTTCCTTCTTTCTTTCTTTTTTTTCTTAGTGTTTTTGTTTTTGGTGTGGTGAGTGGCTTGAGAGAGACAAAAAGATGGGAATCTTGATGAGGTTTTTGGAAATACATAGGACAACCAACACAATCCTTGGCGATTGTAATGTGTGTATATATACGGGTCAGATATAAAGACAAACATGATCTGTCTGGATCCTTATTTATACCGAAACCAAAGGTGACACAAAAGCTTTTTTATGAGCTCTTCTTTGTTGAAGAGAGGTCAAACAAGAAGACTTGCCAGTTTTCGATCTATCGACTCCGTACCTATATGAAACAAGAATAGTCTGCTTCTTGGTTATGTTGCAAAGAAGAATCTATTTGTACTTTATCAACAGAAAAAGTACCTGTAAAAAAGAAAAAAGAGGTATCCATTTTTCTCCTTGCCTCCAAGGAATAATTCCTTTGCCTTTAATTTGCCTTTAACCAGGAAGTGCGCGTGTCAGAGCTGTTTCCCAACTTCTTTGTACATAAGCTTAACGATTCACGAATTGAATAACACTATAGATATTAAGAATTTATGAGATTTGTTATTGTAACACAAAGTTGGATTAAGTTTAGGATTCCGTAGCCAACGGTTTTGTCCGGGTCTAAAATATGTATTTCTTTCGGTTACTTACTCGGTTTAAATCCAACCGAAATCACCAACCAATCCCCCCTATCTTTTAAAAAATCATGGATAGGCCCCCAAAGAAGTAAATAATTAAAATAAGAGCAATAGCACTTTTAAAAAATTATTATTTTGGGCCGGCAATAAGTTGAGCTGGCTCAATTGACTAGTTCCCGAAATCACTCGCACAATTTCACGCCTTTCCTATCGCCAGATTACACGTGTCTTTTTCCCATTGATTAACGTGTCCTCCAACACGTGGACTCTGCTTTGTTTCTCCTCTAAATTGATAAAAATCTACCTCTTGTTGTTTATGATATTAATAACTTCCATATACGTCCCCAACCCTTCAAAAATCCCAATTCCTTTGTTATGTTCTAATCTCATTTCCTTTTCTTTTACGTTTAATTTATGAACACATACATATTTTTTAAAATACACAAAAAGATCACGACACGAAGTACTAGTGTAGTAGTAATTCAAAGTCTTCCCTAATAAAAAGACTAATCGCGTGGTCAAAGAAGTTGGACGAGTGGGTGTGGCAATAGAGTAAATAGATTGAAATAAGAAGGGCGAGTTTTAAGGGATGTGTTAATCATGGAGGGGAGAGAAAAAAAAAAAAGATGAGATAGGTGGAGAGCCTGAGAGTGGGACCCACAAACGCGCAAGAGTAACAGGTTAGGTCGGCTCGTTCGTCGTGGGTTCCTCTCTCAACCCTAATCGAAACCACTTCATTTCTCACGCGCCTCTCTCGCATTAAAAGTTGAAATAGAGAAATATATAATTAATAATTATTATTTTGGTCGACCACTTCTTTCAAATGTCATTGTCTTTTTACCTATTCCCAACGCAAATATTTATAATTGCTTCTTAAGCATTTCAATTATATAAATTCTCGATCCACATAAAAATATCCAAATATCATTTTCAGTGGGACAGTCATCGACATATATTATGGTTGTGAATGAAATCATCAAATCGGAACGGATACGTATCGGTGCAGTGAAAAATTACCCACTCGTACATTTGTTATCTTTGCATATGTTGCTGCTTCACAAACATGTTTGACCACAATTAACGTCTGAGCTTCTTACATTTTAGGAAACTTATATCTAAAGGTTTATCAAGATCTTGTAATGATATATACTTTTTTCTTTGTTCTTTCTTCCTTTTAGCAATTTAATCGGTTTGCATATAAGAGTCTTCAATCTCTTGCATGCTAATCCAAAACGAGATTTGTATTTGATTGAAAACACCACTAATCCACCATCATATATCCAATGTATAATAGTTTTTTTTAACTTTTATCATAGCTGTGTATAACGTTGTTATTCTTTCTAATATGTAATAATCCTTTTAAGTGCGAATTTGCGTTTAGAAATATACAATTATGGAATATGGATGCATAGTGTAAGAATAAAGCAAAGTTTACTAAAAAGGAAGGTGAGAGATATGTAATTAATCTCTAATATATATTAAAAGAGAAAACACTAACTAAATAACCTTTGTCCATTGTGTTATTAACAAGAGTGCCACTGCTGATGTGTCATCACCAGGTTCACTCTCAGCCCAATTTCTAATTAAGACAAGCTTTACTAGAGAAATTACAAATTGTGCCATTGCATATTATGCTTACCATCCATTTATTATTATTTTATTTCCTTAATTGACAATTACGAAAATAAGTAAATAAGGAAGATATGAAATTCAATTGAATTCTATCATAATATTTTTTAAAAATCATTATATATCCCCTATCATCTTTGTTCAACTTTATTTTATGAAATAATACGAATCACAATATAAAAAAACTAATAAAGAAAATCTAATTTTTTTTCTGTATATGCTATGATTTGAATTTTTAAAACAAAATAATGTAAATTGTTTAGTATATAACCTCATTTAGTGTAACAATTATTATCTATTTCAACTTTCAATATAAATATTTTTGTTTTTGTTAAATTATATTTTTGTTATTTTAACAATTTAGATCATGCATATTGTCTTCTTATTGGTTGAATTGTTTTGAAATTATAATAAAGCATGTTTTAGTTTTGAAAGAAAGAAAAAAATAGTTCTAATCCATGTTTTAGTTTTGAAAGAAAGAAAAAAAAATTGATTTTAATCCGTGTTTTAGTTTTAAAAGAAAGAAAAAATAATAATTATAATCTGTGTGCACACAGCTAAGACTTCTTATTTTATGAAATACAGTATACATTTTTGTAAAGAATAATGTTTTATTTTCACTTTTTTGTTCTTTAAACTAACTTATTATACTGCAGTCATTTGAGTTTCATGTATCTTGCTTAAATCTATCATATTTAATATATGGCTACGTTCAAGACTTTAATCTATTTACCTTTTTAAAAAATAGTTTAAAATGCTTAATTTTCATATTATAAACGAATAAACGAGGGCAATAATCTAACAAAGATTAAAAATCCGTCACATAAAATTTTGGGATATTTAAATAGACATCTTTTAATAAATTACCAAAAAAAACATCTTTTAATTAAAATATAAATTCAGAAACCATCACCCGTGCAGGCGCGGGTCAAACCCTAATTAATGTATGATAATGAAAGCCACAAATACGCACTTAAAAGGATTAAAAGGATTTTTTGATTTGATACGGTCGGGCAATTACGCATTATTGATAGCACAATACTAACCTTTAAACTAAGAAAACAATCCACGATAAATCTTGTTATGTTATGTTTTACATAAACAATAACATTTGGTACGGTATATCAAAAGGCAAATATCCCTTGCCGAGATTGATGAATCATAATTTTCTTTAAGAAAAGGAAAATAAAAAAAGTAAAAAAGAAAAAGAAAAAGACAAAAAGGCAAACAACTTAGCGCGTGGGCTTCATGGTTAAGAAACGAGAGTAGGTTAAGAAACCGTCTTTAGGCTGTTGTGTGCAATATCCTGGCCATCGTGTATAAAACCACCGTTCGTCGTCTCCATCCTCCACCACATGTATCCACCACCTTCCTCTAAATTATCTCTCCTGTTCTTCAATTTCATCAATTTTCTCGAGAATCCTCCTCCCTCTCTCAGCGATTTTCGTTAATCGAACCCGCCTCCTCTGTAACTATGGGCGTCGCCGTTCTAAATCCCCAGGACTGTTTGAAACAAAATTTCCCTCACATGAAATATCCTCGTAATCCTACCTCATGCCCTAACAGGCAGAAAAAGCCGGTCACCAACCGCACGCGCCGGAGCCCTCCGCGCAATCAGGCTTCCCGATCTCCTCCCGTAGCGCCGCCGCTTCCTCCTCATCGCGCTACCTTCTCTGCTTTCGTTTCAAAGGGAACGGCGAAGAAGAGTCCCAACAACGGCGTCGTCGCTGGTCAGTTTAGACTCCTGAAACGAGGCGAGGCAATCCCTAAGAAGACCTCCGATCTTGTTGTTGAGGCAATCCCTAAGAAAGCCTCCGATCTGGTTGTTGAGGCAATCCCTAAGAAAGCCTCCGATCTGATTGTTGAGGCAATCCATAAGGAGACCTCCGATCTGATTGTCGAGGCAATCGCAGATCTGGTTGTGGAAAAGCCAGATCTGGGATCTACTCGCCGGATTGGACCAGCTCCGGATATGATTCCGAGTCAGATCCGTTTCTCTAGCCGCAAATCGAAGAAAGCCCCACTTTACGCTGGGCCTGTGACCATGACCTCGCCGCCTCCGAGCGACGTCCCGCTTCCTGCTCGAATTTTTAATACGAAGACTACCAACGATCTTACCAACGGTCTTATCAAATTGCTCTGCTTAGACATCGCTTGACGGCGTACGTCTCCGATCATTTGAGGTTTTTTTAATCTCCGGTGATCAAATGTTGTCGAAGTGTTCCATTTCCCGATCGTCCGATTCCGAATTAAAAACCGGAGATCTACAATAAATCATCTCCAGACGACGAATCTAGAAGATGAAGAAACGCATCTTCGTTATGAATCATTTCGAATCTTCCCTTATTTTTTCAAGGGGCAAGGTCGAAATTTCTTCTTAACAGGTCTTAGTTTCTCTTCTTAGGGTTTAGTGTTTGTGTAGGAGTATTTTTGCATAGGCTTCCGTAATTTGTGTCTTTTTGGTTTCGTTTCTCTGTTTTTCTGGGTAAATTATAGGTTCATCACTTTGGGTTTTTCTTATTTTTCTTGAGTCTCTTCTTATTCCTTAGGTGTCATTCGTTTGTGTCCTTGTTCCAGTTTATAGTTTCTTAGAGTCTTTCGTTTGTGTCCTTTGTTTATTAGAGTTTGTAAGGCAAATTATAGAGATGTATCTACTGGTAACATGAAGCTTATGTTTCGATGTAAGCTCAGTATTACAATCCTCTGTATTTCTATCTATATATTTAAGTTTTAAGGTTAACTATAGAGATGTATCTACTTGGTGACATGAAGCTAAGGTTTCGATGTAAGCTCAGTATTACAATCCTCTGTACCTCTATCTTTATAATTATCAGTAATAAAGTTTTATTTGGCTTTCAATCCATTGTTGTTCAAGTAATTTCTATCAATTCTGTCCATCCTGAGATCAAAGAAGCTGTACGAATAAAAACCTTGTGCCAAAAAAAGATGGATGGTTAAATTTACAGAGATGATTCCAACTCGAACTTAGTGTATTAACTACCAAGACTGAAAATAACAACTTAAAACTTGTAATCTGGTTGTTGGTTGATACTTTCTTCTGGAGCTGCTTGTATAACTTGTAATCATGTTTTCACGTTTGAGAAAATATAAAATGGTCCACTAGGGAAGAAAAACGTTGTTATTAGGTATGTAACACGCAAAGACATTGTCACAAATTGGTATGATTTGAAGACTTTTATGATTATTAAAACTGCCACTTGATCCATTTGAGTTTTGACTCGCTCTCCGAGTTGATCTTGAGTTTTTTTTTTTTAGTTTTTCACGATCTGTTTTTTATCTTAATTGTTATGTACAAATTTATGGCGATAGGTGTTGTGGACAAATCTACTAGCAATGGATGTTATGATTTCATTTTTCGTGTATATCCAAATTTTAAGATATCTGATCTCATAGTTGGACCTTGACCCGATTTGAGGCCCATAAGTTTCAATGGAGAGCTTGTGCGTTTAATTGGTCAAATCAAAGTCCAAGTTCGAAATTTTGCAAGTTTAGGTTGATTCGGGATATTAAAGAAAATCTGCATTCAAATTCTGTAAAAGGAACTTAACTTAGTTATTAATGATCGAAAACTATAATATATATATATATATATACGCATTTGTAGTTTACCAACTTGTCTTTGTCTTTTTACATCGCATCAAAAATATATCAACGGCGATAACGGAGCTGGTTCACAGTCGTCGTGTGTTCATTGGTTGAGCATGACGTGTTTACTCAGCAAAACCACTGAGCCACGTCAGCTTCAGTTTTGTTTGTTCCTTTGCAGTAATAATAACGAACATAATTGATGGTATAAAAGCAAACGTTGATTTTCTACCTAATCAGTAAGAGAAGCAAGACAAACCCTAAATTAATTTAGTCAATTTTATTGTTTCTATAGAGTTTATATCGGGGAATCTTTACATATATAATTTGACATAAACTTTCCCAAACAACTCAGTTTTTGGGTCCCACACCTATTTGTTTACTCAGAAAAATAAAATAAATTAAAATCCAAATCTGCAATCCATCCAGCGACGGACCCGATCTTGCATTTTCGCATCGACATTAAAATGGAATTTTTTTATTTATGTTATCTTCCGAAATCAAAAAGAAAAAAACAAAGGACAATGAAAAAAGGGAAAAAAATGAGAAGAATAATTTAGCCAGAGCCTCATATATAACACCACCCATCGATCTTTTTCTCCTCCATTTCGATATTTCAACATCCTCTCTCTTTCTTCGCCATTCTCTCTCTTCTGTAACTTCTCTTCTTTCCTTCTCTCGCTGCTGCTGTTTTGTATCTGATTCCCTTTTTCTACGGGAGCTGCAGATTTGATTAGTGTAGCTTCGATGAAGAAGGCTACATCGGCAGCAGCTAAGATGGTGGTCAAGGATGAGTGGGTGGCGGCGGCGATGACGGACGACGAGATGGTGGCAGAGCTTCTTATACGGCTGAAGCACGCCGGGACGGTAGTTTCGGAGAATCCTGTAGCGAATCTGCCTCCGTTGCGGTGGGGAGTCCGTCAACGGCGCTCGCGGTCCTCAAGATTAGGTGGCGGCGGTGTCCTCGTTTCGTTGAAGAAGGATGTGGATTCCGTTAGAGCCAGTCCTAAGACTCCGCTCTCCTGGAGTGGCGGATCTGGAAGCGGCGCCGGCGGCTCTGCATCTCCCTCCGCCGCAACCGCCGATGGATTCGAGGACATTAGTCGTCAAGCTAGCTGCTCCACATCTACAGGATCCGGATCTAAGGTACCTTCGCTTTCCCTTATCTCTCTCTCTATCTCAAAACCTTTCGTCATTCAGCTCGCGCTTCTCGATTTAGTCTTCTCTTCATCTCCCTTCCTTTCGATTGCGAATTCGAAAGCCATGGAGCGATGCAAATCCGTCATGTCGTTGGATTTTCCGTTCCGATCTGGATTTTCCCGTCCGTCGCTTGTTCACAATTCAGATTTTAGAAGATCCTTCTCCTCACCTCTGATTTTATCTTTATTTTCCAAAAATTCTCCTAACTACCCATCTTCATACAAGATTCTCAGCTCTACGGTGACTTCATCTCTCTCGAGCGTCGACGCTTGAAAAGCCGACTTCCGATTCTCACGCATCTATTTTGTTTTCCGCTGATCTCCATTTTTTCGGATATTTTTTGGTAATTTTACGAAATTTGGTCACCGGAAAAATTTCCTTCTCCGTCACTCTCGTGTCCCGCTTGCCTTTCTCCGCGGCGATTAGGCCTTAGCTATCTTCTCATCTCTTGCTCTAGGTTAAACAAATTCTTCCATTTCTAAAAGTCAAAGCCTATTTTACTTTTTTTTTCCTTTTTTTGTTCACTTTCTATTTCGATGGTGTTTTCGTAATATTCAACTCCGCCGAATCTACTCTCACAAAGCCTAGGTTTTCTTATTAATAAATCTGGAGGTTGACGGTTAGGCTTCTCGATTAAGCTATCTCTCCGGTTTGCACCGGGGGATCTAACCGGATCTTGCGTGGGAAGCTTCTGATTATTGGCCGGTTCAAGGGGAATATTAGGAACCGGTCAAGTTGAGGAAGAATAAAAGCTTCTTTAGATTATGGGGATAGTACAGCTAAGTTGGTCAAACGTGCGCGTTTACTGTACGTTTTGAGGCACAAAAACGATATCGTTTCGGGTGAGAGGTGGGAGAAGCGAGTGAATGAATCTTGTCGGAGAGATTGGGATCACGTGATCTTTAAGAGTGATGACGATTGATGACGACGATGCCACGGGATTTGGCATCCTTCTTCTTCATCACCTTCTATAAAATTCTTTCCAATTGTATTTGTGTTTCAAAAAGGATAGATTTTTTTTTTTGTATTTATTTCCCTGACTTTTGTTTGAAATTTCTATTGTGGGAAAATAACTTTACTAGTGTGTTAAATAAGATATTGGGGTTTGATTATTAAAAGTAAAAGATCTAAAACAGTTGTCGTTTATTCGTCAGCATTTAATTTTATTCTTTAATAATATTTTTCAAATTTGTCAGATTTGGCATCTTATTTACCGCGTTAATAAAACTTTTTATTTGTTGTTGGCTTGTTGCTGATAAAGTGTGCATCTTTTTATTTCTTTTTCTTTTGCAGGCTTTCCCCACAAATGAAATCACCAGTTCATTTTCCAAGAGACTGAAGAAAAAGAAGGTATACAAACTCTATTTCATACCTATACGGAAAATCCCAAATCCAATAGATATTCTTAAATTCCAACTATGCACTATGAAATCCAAACTTTTTTGCTGACATGAGAGGCCTTGGTTTTAATTTTTGACAGTCTTCTTCTGAGCTTAAAAACGAAGAGAACTTGAAGTTGAAGGAAAGACTTGACCTCGAAAAGGTAGATTCTCTTTTTTTTTAGTCTCTATTTTCGTATGATCTCATTAACTTTCATCATATTCTAACAAATGCGATTTCTCCCACAGGAGATTGCAAGTCTCCGAGTAACGTTTGACGAACAAAACGCAAGGAATCAAAGGCTGAAGAGGATTAAGGTGAACATTTTGATTCTCCCTAACCAATTGTTGAAGTCTTTTGATCTTCCAGATTCGCTCTCTTTGCTGGACTTAACTGAATCAAAATCTTCTCTTCTGTTTCCTTGTATCAGCTTGACTTGAGCTCAGGACGTGTCAAGAAGGAGTCTCCGGTTGATCTGGTTCGCAAATCACACGCCGTATCAAAATCTTGCAGAGCAGAGGGCAAAACCACCAGCTCGAGAAACCAGGAGAGCTTCTTCTTCCTCCCTGATTTGAACATGGTACCATCCGAGGACGAGATTTTGTACGGGACCAGCTAGGTGGCTCTTGTGACGATTTTTCGATCTCGATCTGATTACAATCAAGAAGGGGAGCCAGAGATTCTAACAAAGAAAAGTGAATGTAATAAGAGGTTTTAGTGTTGGTCTCCCATCATTCTCGTTTTCTGTGTCCACTTCTCTTTTGGGGTAAAACGCTCTTTACTTCTTTGGTTTTTTTAGAAGAAGGTGGAAGTTAGGTTCTTTCATTTTTTTGTTTTCTCTCTTTTGTACCGATTCGTTGTAGTTAAAAGCTTTGTTGGAATTTGTTATTAGAGGAAAAAGTAGCACAACTAATAGACTTTTATGTTTCAAACTTTTCCTTTTTATTTTATTTCCATATATTAATTTAAAACCCTAGTTTCCGCTTAACTAACCCAAGACAAAAGATATCTCTATTCATGATTTTTCTACTATTAAATTTTGAACCTTTTAAATTTGAACTTGAGAAGTGGTAATGCTATAGGTGGATCGTCGGCGTGTTCATAGATTAAATAAGCAAAAGGATTAAAAGAATGCCAACCACTTTATCACCTAATTTGTCGAAGTCTTTCTTTTGTCTTTTTATTATTTTCACTGAAATTATATTGATCACATTGAAAGGAAAATATTACATGACAGAAGAGAAACTACAAATAAACTATAACCTACAAATTGATGAGGATCGGAATTTTTTTCTATCGGCACTTCTAGGATCTGTAAATGGTTTGTGATGGTATTATATCTATCCATTTTTTCTCATATAAGATGTTTTATGACATATACATTAAAAATAAATTTGTAATAGTCTCTTATTATATAAATTTGAACGCAACTTTATTTTTACTATTTGTAAATAAACAGAAGTACCCAACAGTAATAAATTAAAAAAACATTTGCATTTGACCAAAAAACAAGAATACGGGTTCAAAAAGTCAAAATTCATGGCTAATTAAGAAACACACTTGTTGGTCTCGAGGAACATCTGAAAGAGAAAGGAGTGTTTCTCTCCGATCCCCAAAACGCAGGAAAACAATGTCGTCTAACAGCTCCCACCTTCTTCCTCCGCAGGAACAGGAAGACCTTCCTCTCCGGCACTTCTCCGATCAATCTCAGCATCCGCCGCCGCGCCACTTTTCTGAAACACCTTCCCTCCTCACCGCCAGTTTCCTCAACCTCCCTTCCAACGCAGCCACGGCTGAATCCGATTTTGCGCCTCCGCATCGCAACGGAGACAGCTCATCTGCTGCTACGAACCGACGGTGGCTCTCCTTCAATTCGGAGATCCCAAACACCGGAGAAGTCCGTCCTGAAGTCATCGACGGAGTCAACGCCGATGGTGAAACGGTACACGGCGTTGTTGGTGGTGGTGGAGGTGAAGATTGGAAGAGCGCTAGCTACAAGGCTGCGATTCTGAGACATCCGATGTACGAGCAGCTTCTGGCAGCTCACGTGGCTTGCCTTAGGGTTGCGACTCCCGTTGACCAGATTCCGAGGATCGATGCCCAGCTCAGTCAATTGCACACCGTCGCCGCAAAGTACTCCGCTCTCGGCGTGGTTGTGGACAACAAGGAGCTTGATCATTTCATGGTAAGTCGGAAAATTACATTTCCAATTTCAATTTTATAGATTTTTTACTGAATTTCAACATTTCGGTTTGCTTTGCAATTTGATAATTGCTCCTTCTTTTGGGGCTAAACTAATTTGGTCGACTCGAAAACTCGTTGGATAAATTTTATTTCTTGATTGGTAGCTGTTTGTTTGTTTCTTGCTAACTAAAAAGGGATTTGTATGTCATCTAAGTTTTGTACACTAGAAAGAAAACATGAATCTGTTTTGGAAGGTTGTGTTTGTATGTGTTATGATTCAGAATCTTACCCTTTTTTTGTTTATGATGATGATGCAGTCACATTATGTTGTGCTGTTATGTTCATTTAAAGAACAACTCCAACACCACGTTTGTGTGCATGCAATGGAAGCCATTACGGCTTGCTGGGAAATCGAGCAGTCACTGCAATCCATAACCGGTAAATGTTTCAATCCAAAATCAATTGTTAGGAGCGTCTTGATTTGATCTCGTAGTCTTGCTTTCTGATTTTGTATAGTGTGTGGTTTGTAGGAGTTTCTGCAAGTGAAAGTAACGGGAAGACAATGTCGGATGATGAGGATGATAATCAAGTAGAGAGCGAGGTGAACATGTTTGATGGGAGCTTGGACGGTTCAGATTGCATGATGGGATTTGGTCCTCTTGTTCCCACGGAGCGGGAGAGGTCCTTGATGGAACGTGTGAAGAAGGAACTGAAGCATGAGCTTAAACAGGTAATTGTGAAGTTACATCAAACGAAACTAAGCTAAACTAAAACACATTATGCTCATCATGTATGTGTCCTATAGGGTTTCAAAGAGAAGATTGTGGATATAAGAGAAGAGATAATGAGGAAGAGAAGGGCGGGGAAGTTGCCGGGAGATACAACCTCTGTACTCAAAGAGTGGTGGCGCACTCACTCTAAATGGCCATACCCAACCGTATAAACCTCTGCCAAGAAGTTTGTTTTCTTAAAGACTGTTTTATTTGATTATATATTCTTGATTGATTTGGGGTTCTGAAATGTAGGAGGAAGATAAAGCAAAGCTGGTGCAAGAAACGGGTTTGCAGTTGAAACAGATTAACAATTGGTTTATCAACCAGAGGAAAAGAAACTGGAACAGCAACTCTTCAACATCATCTACATCCACTCTCTCCAAGAACAAACGTAAACGGTAAAAACATATTCATCATTCTGTGTTTCGTAATCATCCACTTTTTCGTTGCGCAATATCGTCAAAACTGGTCAAACATTCTCTCTTAACCAAATTCAGGACCGGGAAGTAGGTGACATTCTGGATGACCGGAGGGTGACGCTTTACCACGTAAATTCAAGGGAACCAGATATGAAAGACACGGTTTCTCCTCCGGTTCTATGTTCGTACGTACAGATGTATGTCTAGGTGTTACCGGATTGCCTATAAAACCGGATTCTGGTGCTGTATTTCTGTTTGTATCGGCTTGTAATCTGTGTTTATATATGTGTAAATAACGTAGTTCTTGGAAGCTATCTGTTTCGTTGGTTTGCGTCTTGTAACGAACGCTTGGTCGGGCCACTGGTGTGGCCTTCTTCCTTTTTTTGTTGTTGTAAATTGCGCGAATATGGTTCGTTAGTATCAAGCAATATCCGGAACCCAAAAAACATAATTTTGTATATGCTAATGCAAGGATGAAGCACCTTTAGCTGGTTTATATCTCATGATTCTCATTCTACTTACCAAAAAAAAAAAAAATCATGATTCTCATTCCAGCGTGCTTATAAGGGTATATATGTAATTTTCAGAAAATTCAAGTTACAAAAACTAAAAATTGGATTTGGGGGAAGAAGCGATTTTGTTTGTCCAGCGCCTTCTTCTCATTTTCTAGAATTTCCATCGCCATTGTTTCTCAGTTCGCAAGGTAGAATAAATAAACCCTAAGCTCTTTGGTGGCATTGAGCTTGAGCTATTGCAGATTGCTACTCTTTTAAACACTAAAGAGTTGTTTTAGACTTCGTCAGGCTTTGTTTACTCGTTGTGCGTTTGTTTCAGCTCGGTGATTATGGCGGAACCGCAGGAGGTACGATCTCCGCCGCTTGACGATTGCCTTAAGCTGTTGAAAGGGGAGAGGGACGAGCAGAGGCTCGCCGGTCTACTTCTCGTCACCAAATTCTTCCGGAACGATGACCTCGTTTCCCTCAAAAAGGTGTACGAAGCCGTCGGTACTCACTTCCTCGACCGTCTTCTCCGCACCGGTAAACAAATTCCCGACTTATTACTGGAGAATTGTACATACACGAATTTAGTTAGATTCTAAGGTTCGTTGCTCTCTGGAATGAGTTGTTTTGCAGGTAGTGGCGATGGAGGTGAAAATCGTGATGTGTATCTGCAGCTATCACTTACTGTTCTTGCTGCATTCTGCCGTGTTCCGGAGATAGCTTCTTCAGAAGAGATGGCCCTACGGATTCCCCTTATCCTTGAAATCATGTCGAAACGGTATGTTAGATCGCAAATGATTCTGTAATCTGTGATTTCCCATCAAGTTTTCTCAAAGTTCTGCTTCTGCGTCTTTCGCTTTTGCACAGTATGACTTCTTAAAATTAGGAACTTGGCTTTTGGAATTGCAGACCAGCTTCAAACACTCTCGAAGAATGCTATGAGCTTCTGTATTTGGTGTCCACGGCTTCTCAAGCTGGTGTCATGGCTTTGTTGAACTCTGGAGGCTTGAGAGTGATAGCTCCTCAGATGTCTGATCTAGCTGATGGTAAGTGTAATGTGCACACTAGATACCAATGACTGCTCTTTGGATTAACAATGATCGGTGTGAAAGAAATATGCCATGTGTTGAGGTGGATGGATTTGAGAATGATTTTTATATGAAAGCTAATGCGAGACATGTTATGCAGGCTCACATGCTACGGAGGTTGCTATAAAGATTCTGCAGTTATTGGTTACTAAGATTTCCAGCGAGAGCATGAATATTGAACGCTTCTTCGAACTGTCTTTGGTGGTGAGTCCACTTCATTATTTTAACTTTTGTTTTTGGCAAGAAGTTGGAGTTGGAACATAATGTTATTTGTTATTCAGGTTGCTGCTGTTGCACGGCAGTTTGCGGTCTTGCATAACGCCCTGAAGTTCGAAGCGCTCCATCTACTGTCTGCAGTCTTCTGTTTCGAGTATTCGGTGAGTTTTCACTCCTTCACCTTCTGTGGAAAGTTAGATGTAATTGAGTTGAGTATGTTTTTAGCTATAGTTACTAGCATGGTGTATGTATTTGTAGTGGCAGCCCACTTTTGAGGGATTCATTGTCTTGATGCTCTTTCATAACATGTCATGTTTGCATTTGTAGAAGCTCTATATCCTTTCTGCATGTGAATCTGTTTAATATGTTTCTCACAGAAGTTCTTATGTGCAGGAACTTCTTCATGAACCTCTTCGTTCCATGCCAGACAACAATTGGGCAGACTTTATGCGCACAGGTGTTGTGTCAATACTGCAGAATCGTGTGGGTGAGTTAAAACAGATCTATTAGCAGTTTGATTGGGTCTTTGAATTTATGGCATTCTTTTGTTGGCAGCTTTTATGCTGTTGAAGTTTTCAAGATACTTAAGAAACCTGTCTTGTTTGAATGTGTAGCACCTTCCGAAAAGCTTCATGCATTGATTCTGGCTGAGAATATGATGTCAATTCTGGGTGAGAAGTGGCTTATAGGTCGAGTAAAATTACCAAGTGTTGAAGATTATCTTCCAGCTGATAGGTAAGCGAAGGATATTTGTATTACACATCACTTAACCTACATTTTATAGCCAGATAACTGTCATTCTGATAATTTTACTTTTGGTAGGTGTCTTCTGCTGGTATTAGAGTCATCACATGTTGAAATTTCTGTTTTGACAAATGAACTCGCTTACATGAAATATGAAGCTCCTACTACTAGTTCAACCGATGAAGACAGTCTCTTGAAGCAACGTTATCTGGCTATCATGTTTTCTTTGATAGAAAAGATTATCAAATATATATCAACTGTTGGTGAAAATGAAGGTATAACATATAATCCTGTCTTATAAATGCTTCCTATCTACATGACCCCATTTCTATAAACTTCTCTGTTATTTCTAATGACATTATTTTCTGAACCTCCTTTTTATAATCTAATAACTGCGCTGCTTATAATAGTGAGAAATTTATTTCGCTTGGCATAATTCATGTCAGACATTTTCCTATTTGATTTTTTTTGGAATTTACATATTGAGCTTTGCAGGGACTCTAAGTGATGAAGCCGTCTTCCTAAAGGTGATTAAGACACTTAACGAGACTGTAGGAGTGGTGCTCGAGTATCTGAAAGATGCAAAGGTATATATCTGATTACACAGAACTTCTTTCTGTGATTTTTGTGTGTAGAAAATGTTTTTTTATGGTAGTTCTGTCTCATACAGGAACATGGAAAAAAGAGAGGAACTGATCTTCTTGCATCTGTGCGAGTGATTGGGAGGTACAAAAAATTACTCCTTCTAAGAAATTACCGTTCTTTTGTTTCTTTTTCAATCGCCTTTTCTGTTTTTGTTCTTGTTGAATAATTACATAGCAGTTTGGCCGAAATTTCTGCTTATGTAATCATGGTTTGCTGCTTCATTAAACTTTGTGTAAACAAGTATTCATGGACGGACATAGACTTTAGCGTTCACTGAGCTTTTTTGTATTTTCAACAGCTATCTTGCTGAAACTCCTGATGCGTGCAAAGAGAAGGTCCAAGACCTTCTGGACTATATGCTTTCAGTGGAGGGCGAAGATGAATCAAGGTCCGGAAACACACTCTCGTGAAATTTTCACTCTTTTACGAAGCTGTTTATGTAATGCATCCCAGGATAACTTGGTCTGAATATTTTTGTTTTGACAGCCCTTTTTTGTCCACTTGCTTCTTGCTCCCAATGCTATGCCAAATAACAATGAAGGCAGAAGGATGTGAACTCTTGGCTGCTTCAAGAGGCTATGTAGCTGTGAGTTACTACGGTTTATACTTTCTTACGCTGATGCTACTTATGCTAGTTGACACTGGACAGTATGCTTGGTCTAAATATGTTTGCAGTAATTATAATGTATATTATCTTATAAGGACTTTTTTAATATTTTGATACAGGTGGTGGAATGCCTAATAAAACTGATCCAGCCCAATGGTGAGAGTGTGGAGGACAATGGAGGCATATTCTTGGCTTGTGATACAATCACGAATATTCTTCTAAAGGTACCCTCTTCTCCCTAAGATAAGGCCTGATTTCATTTTGCTAAATCCTATATTCAAATGATTGATTATTGGTTGATACTCTCGTAAATGTCGGATACAGAGGGAAGAAATCAGATTTTCGCCGGAAATATCAACATTTTCCAGTCTATTGAAAGCCTTGGCGTCTTGGGCAGGTGGTGTAAACTTAAAATCAGAATCTTCATTGTTTCTGTTTTGAGTGCTTCTAAATACTTCAAACCTGTTTGTTCTCTTTTTTTTTTTTCACAGATAGTACTAATGACCCATCGGAAGTAATGATGGCTGCAAGCATCTGCTCTTTGATATTTGATTTCACATCAGAAGATGCTCTACTCAAGCAACCTAACTTCAACGGTAGCTCCTTGGATAGTTTGGCCCGGCTCATTACAAGAAGCTTGTCCTCATGGGGCCAGGTATAAATCATTTGTCAGAGTGTTGTCGTGTTCTTAATTTGGTCACTTCTTGTCCGAAATTTGATTTTCTTGGTAGAGAGTTGCTTCTTAGATGACTTATACATCAATGCAGGGTATATCTGATGCCGCGGATCTTCTTGAAATCATAACAGCAGGTTCGGGTTTGAACACAAATCACAATTTTCCATTGTCTTCTTTATTTTCTAAATCCAAAAACAGAAGTTCTTGTTTTCTTCTGATTATTTTGTATGATTGACGAACAGGATACTCTCGATGGGCAGATCGATTCCCCACCATTGTGAAACATAATCGCTGAGCAACGTAATGTTTATCTACAAGGTTTCTCTTTGTAATTTTATATTATGATCAGCTGAAAATATGTTTTTGTTTCTTAAGGCTACTTTCTAGGGGAGAGAATAGTATTAGACTTATTAGGCAAATGAATTTTCTTTTTGAAGCTTCACATTGTTGTAGAATAATATAATACATACAATAGATTTTAAAATTTCGTGTAACAAAGCATTGAATTTTTGGATTTTGTGTATGAATTTAGGCTTTTTGTGTCTTTTCTTAAGAGGGACTTCGTCTAAAATTTGACGAATTTGCTTTTGTAGAGACAATCTTATCTAAAATGAT